AGTTTGCAGATGACACAAAGATAGATGGAGGGACAAGTAGTGTTGAGGAAGCGAAGAGGCTGCAGAAGGACTTGGATATGCTCAGCGAGTAGGCAAAGGAGTTGCTGATTAAATACAATGTTGTAAGTGCAAGGTTTTGCAATTTGGCAGGAACAATGCAGGCGCAGATTGTTTTAAACAGGAGGGGCTTCGGAATGCTGAAACACAAAGTCATAGTTCAGGATTCTCTTAAAGTCAATATGCAGGTTCAGTCAGTGGTTAGGACAGCAAATATTATGTTGACATTCATTTTGAGAGGGCTAGAAAAGTAAGAGCAATGATGTACTGCTGAGGCTGTATAAGGCTCTGGCCAAACCGCATGTGGAACATTGAGTGTGGTTTTCGGCCCTGTATCTAAGAAAAGATGTGCTTAATGATTATATCATTATTATAGGTTATTGGTTATATTATTATATTATTGGATTAGTATTGTTGCAGGCGATCCAGAGGAGGTTTACAGGAAAGATTCTGGGGATGAAAGGCCTGTCATGTAAGGAACAGTTAAGGCCTCTGGGTCTGTACTCTATGGAGTTTAGAAGGATAAAGGGTGAAGGGACAATTCTTTAGACCTGATGTGAAGGTGCTGGTGCTGGTGCTGGACTGGGGTGGACAAGGTCAGAAGCCACATGACACCAGATTATAGTCCAACAGGTTTATTTGAAATCACAAGCATTCAAAGCGCTGCTCCTTCGTCAGCTGGAGTGAAGAGAAGCACACTGGCACATAATTTATTTGTACTTGTGTCTGTATTTGTAAAGCCTTCCTTGCTGTCCTGTTTTGACACCATCACCTTGATAACTTATTATGACCTTAATTAGTTTGTAGAGTTTTGGATTACATGCTATGTTGGTAAACATGCAATTCTTATACCTATCATGTTATTCCAGCCATTTGGTTTGTTTCCAGCAACACCTTATGTTGAATTTTCTGTAATTACCCCTCTGTTTCAATTAATTGGATTATAGGTCATCCTTCCACTTGCTATTCAGCTGCTGACACTTTACTCACGCCATCTGACACTTTTGATCACCCACAGAGACTTATTACACACCATTTGTACAATCTTTTGATCTCTCTGCCTATAAATTATGTGCCTGTGTACTTCTCTTCACTGCACCTGACAAAGGAGCAGTGCTCCAAAAGCTTGCGATTTCAAATAAACCTGTTGGACTATAACCTAGTGTCATGTGACTTCTGACTTTAGACCTCAGATGAGGAGGAATTTCCTCAGGCAGAGGATGGTGACTCTGTAGTACTCAGTGCTGCAAAGGCTGCGGAGGCTAAGTAATTAGGTGTACATAAGACAGAAATAGGTAGGCTCTTGATTAGTAAGCGAATCAAGGAAAAGGCAAGGGAATGGGGTTGAGAAACATATCAACCACGATTGAATGGCAGAGGAGACTCAAATGGGCTGAAGAGGCCATTTCTGCTCCTATATCTATGGTCTAACAGTTCTGGTCCCCTTATCTAAGGGGGAAGTTGTGATATAGGAGGTAGTCCAGACAAGGTTCACTACATTGATCCCAGGAATGGAGCAGCTGTCTTACGGGGAGAGGTGGAATCAGCTGGGCTTGTACTCGTACTCATTGGAGTTTAGAACAATGAGAGGCAACTATAGTAAGATCTATAAAGATTCTTAGGGGTCTTGACATTGTTTCTTCTTGTAGGAGGGTCTCAGACTAAATGGACAAGCTCAGAATGAGGAGTTGCAGTTTCAGACAAAGGAGGAGGAATTCCATCCTTCAGAACGTAGTCAATTTGTGAACAGAGGATTGTCGAGGCTAGGTCATTAATTTTATTAAAGGCTAAGATGGCCACATTTTTAATCAGAATACAGCAGGATAATTGAGACGAAGATTATCAGATCAGCACGATGGAACTGCAGAACAGACTCTATAGGCCAAATATGGTTTTATGTTATGTTTCAGTTATACAAGGCATTGATAAGAATTCATCTTGAATACTATGCACTGTTTTGATCTCCCCATTCAATTAAAGATCTAAATGCATCGGAGATAGTTCAAAGGAGATTGATACATGGAATGAGCAGGATGTCTTAGTATAGATTGGACAGACAGCTTGTTTTTCATTGCAGTTTAGAAGAGCAAGGGGCAATTTGTTTGTCATGCTTACAATCCTGAATGGTCTTGACAAGGTGGACGCCAAAAGGAGATTTTCATTTGTGGGTTGAGTTCAGACATGGAGCCACTAAAGGACTTAAAACTCTACATTGTTGAAGCGTTACCTATTCAGATGATCTGCCCGCCTGTGCAAAATAATGGCGAGTTGACATAAAGTGAAGTTTAAAATATTCCACAACAACGTTTTTTGCAATGTCTTTCAGCTGGAAGCATTAAGTGGATGATCCATCTTTGCCACCTTCCCGAGGTCCCTGGCACATACACAGCATCAGTTTTCAATCTATTCAATGCACTATGCACAAGTAGTAGGTGGGGGTCACTGGATACGGAAAAGGCTGTGGGCCTGATAACATTCCGGTAACAGTACTGAAGAAGTGTGCTCCAAGCCAAGCCATTCCAATGCAGTTATAACACTAGCATCTAACCAACAATGTCGAAAATTGTCTGGATATATCTGGTACACAAAAAATATTGTATTACCTGGAAACCACCTTATAAGTCCACTCTCAAAGTGATGGAAGGATTGTCCACAGGGCTATCAAATACTACTTGCAAAGGAGTAATCTGCTCATGACATTCAATTTGCAATTAATTGGCACCCCATCCAATTTCAACATGCACTCCCTTCACCAGTGATGCACAATGGCAACAGTGTGCACCAGCAACAACAAGCACTGCAGTAACATACCAAGAGTCCTTCAACTGCAATTTCCAAACCACTCTAACTTTTAGAACAAGGGTAGCAGACACTTGGTAACACCACCATTTTCAAGTTCCCCTCTAAGTCACTCATTGTCCTAACTTAGAATAATATCACTGTTTCTTCAATGTCACCAGAACAAAATCCCAGAATTCCTTTTCCAACAGCATTGTGGATGAAGGCCTCAAGGACTGAAGAGGTTCAAAAAGGAAGCTGGCCACCACTTTTTCCAGGGCATTTAGAATAGAGGTAATAAATGCCGACATAGCCAGCTCCAGTCACATCTTATAAACTTAAAAAGCAGCTCAGGAGCCACATGTTCAACTTTTGCTTCAAAATCATGTTTGTATGTACGTGAAGGTCTAATTCACTCTACTGTACAGCCACTACTTTCCTTATTGTCACAGTCAAGTGTATCTCCTGTCACTTATGCATTTTTTGGAATAAGGGTGCAATATTTGCATGTCTCACATCACCTTTGGCTCTGTTGCCAGTTGTCATGTCTATTATGATTTGCTTCTATATGTTTTAGCCACAACTGAAAGTTTTTCTAGAATTTATTTGATCTAAACTCTTGGTGATTTTCAACATCTCCGTCAAACCTACTCTGCTGTCAGAGCAGCCCCAGCTTTTCCAGTCTATGTAAGTGTAAAGCTCTACTGCTGGAGCCATTCTTGGAGAAGTTAAAAGGAAGATTTCTCAACACCATTGGTCTACAGGAACCTTAGCCATATCTGTTGCATTTCCTGCACTTCTGCTCTCACCTCTTCTCTTCCCTCCCACAACACCAATGGGGGCTCCCTGTCTTCACTTTCCACTCCACCAGCATCTGCATCCAAATACACGCATTGCCCTCCCTTGTCAGCATTTCGCAGGGATCGCTCACTCTGGGACATGCTGCTCCACTCTCCTCCACTCCTCATACTTCCTTACACCCTCATGACACCTTTCCATGCAATCACAGAAGACTTGCCCATTTATCATTTCCCTCTTCACTATTCAAAGACTCCAAACACACTTTCCAGGTAAAGCCATGATTTACCTGGGCTTCACTCAATCGAGTCTACTGTATTTGCTGTTCACAACGTGGTCTCCTCTACATTGGGGTGACAAAACACAGACTGGTGACTGCTTTGCAGAACATTTGTATTTGGTCCATAAAAATGACCTTGAACTTCCAGCTGCCTGTCACATCAGCACACGTTTTGGCTAGCTGGTCAATATTTCTGTCTTGGACCTTAAGTGCTCCAGCGAAGCTCAGCATAGGCTGGAAGATCAGCATCTAATCTTCCAACTGGGGGCCTTGCAGCCTTCAGAACTTAATATCGAGTTAAGCAATCTTAGGGCCTGAACACCACCTTTTTTTGTCCTTTATCTACATCCAGCACCTGTCATAACATGAGCTGTTTTCTGCACTGCCAACTCATTGTCACGTACTATCGCCATTATCAGCTTTATTCCTTCTCTGGTTTAATATCAACTTCCCCCTTTGTCTGCCCAATAATCCTTCTCTCCCTCTGGGCTCAATCTCCAATTATCCACTCACTCTTTCCCTACACCCCCAACCCACACCTGGTCATCAGAATAAATACCACAAATTCCTAGCTACAATCAATTCTGATGAAGTGTCACTGGATTTGAAACATTAACTCTACTTTCCTCCCACAGATGTTGTCAGATCTGCTGAGGTTCTCTAGCAATTTCCACGTTTGTTTCAGAAAAGACTGTAACCTTCACAGTGCAGAATGCAGTGGACATAGCCATTGCTGGATTTCAGAATTCCTGACTACAACTGTATTTAGATATCAACATCCACACAAAAAAAATAAATATAAAGCATAAACATGACAAAGTATAATAAGACCACAACAAAATAAATCTAAACACTATCTTCCGTGTTTCTGCTCCCAAAATACTGCATTACAATGAGGCCACTTAGTTGCTTGGATCTGGTCAAAGTATTTTCTGACAACTGGTGTTTCCGAACAATAGATTTCCGGACTGAAGAGGTTACAGTGCATCAACAATTTCAGCAAGATGATGATGTTGACAGTCATGTTTGCTGGCCAGACATTACATTCAAGCAGCCTCATTCAGTCTCTCTGTACCGTATTATTTACCATTGCTGGAATCGGACTGATTCCTTGACCTGCTGCTGCTGGAGCCTCTTCCATGTCTATCATCTCCTCCTCCTCCTCCACCACCACCACCAGCAGCAGCAGCAGCCTCAGCCTCTCGAACGAGTCCAACTACTTGGGGGGGGGCGCCGCCGCCTTTGGCCCTCCCACGGCCCCTACCCCGTCCTCCCTGCCGCCAAGCGGGCTCCATTGCCTGGCCTCTCTTTTCCTCCCTCCGGGCTCCTCGGACGTTACTAACGGCCTGATCCCGGAGCCTGGGCCGCCAGCTGCTGGGGGCTCATCGCGCATGCGCCCCGCCGATACGCGGCACCAGCCCTCCGCGCATGCGTCCCGTGCGCGGCGCCCTCTGGGAATTGAGGTCCATCAGACCCCGCCCTATCGCTGCTGCATTGATATAGCGCCGTGCCAGGAGCATTGCAAAACAAACTACGACACGAAGAGGATAGCAAGGTTGAATATCAAAATCTGAATCTAAGGGGAAATTTGGCAGTGAGGAACCCCTTATCAAATGGCCTTGTTGTTAATAGTCTCACCAGCACAAGCCTGATGGGAGTGCTAGGTGGGTGGGTTAGGTTCCCAGAGTGGTGTGGTCTTTCACTAATTAGACAAACACTGCTACATGGTGTTTGGCCCTCCTGGTTGTTCTGAGTCCCGACAGTTATACTTCTCAATGAAGGAGAATGCGGAACAGCCATCGAGGAGGAACTGCATGCTCTCATGGCTGTTATTGATGATTTTGACTATAGTGTTGTGATCAAAGAGCTCACTAGCCCTAATGTGCCCCAAAATTGATGAGGAATTGGAGAAATTCCATTGTTACTGAGTTCTGTGCACTAAAGATCATGTGCCACATGGTGCAAATGACAAAGGATC